CGCAATCTGTAGAAGCTGTAAGCAACCTACAGAGCAAGAGACACCGGAACATCTGCTCTGCTTCTGCCCAGCGCTAAACCACATCAGATTTCGCCACTTCGGTGCCTACCAGATGGAGTCACTGAGAAGCATAGGTAAGCTGAAAGTTTCAGCAATCCTAGGTTTCCTTGCTGACTCTGGATGGTACTGATAGTGTATTACAACAACAAAAACAGAGGGTGTGGAACAAAAAGGAGCTAAGCTCTAATTGGAGGCCCCAGCAATGGGCCTCACCACTGTAACCTACCATCATGTCCAGACAAGGATCCATGACCACTTTAAGCAGATAGGTAATAAAGAATGGCAAAGTAAGAGCGATCACAGAAGGTCAAGGGAATGTTGGCCGAAGTACGACAAGAAACGAACCAGTGAACTGCTATCCAACAGCAAGCGGGATATTAGCAGGTTCACGGCACTCACAACAGGACATTGGGCGATCGGAACATCTACTCTGCTTCTGCCCAGCGCAAAACCACATCAGACTTCGCCACTTTGGTGCCTACCAGATGGAGTCATTGGAAAGCTGAAAGTTTCAGCAATCCTAGGTTTCCTTACTGACTCTGGGTGGTACTGATAGTGAACAACAACAACAAACAAAGGGAGCGGACCAAAAAGGAGCTTAGCTCAGGCCCAGTAAGGGGCCTCACCACTGTAACCTACCTACCATTACGACTTGAAAGGGCTAATAATGCCAATGTCACGACGACTGCATGCTGTAATAGATGCAATGGGACTCCACACAAAATGTTTGGTTTGGTCGCTTGTCCCATGGTGCGGGAGAGCGGCGTTCGGCTGGTCGCTCGCTCGGTGTTGGATAGTGCATACGAGAGAGATGGAATGAGAGGAGAAGAATAGTCTGCATTTGCGAACGACGAGGAACGCACGCCGTCGATCTAACGCTGTACTATTACCACACACACGCCTGTATATAGAATGTTAAATTAAATATTGAATTTATTCGTTTTGTGTTTGATCTTGCCTGGGAACCCCTCTTACAATCACCTCTTGCTAATAATACAAGGGGACACAACTATTCACAAAATATTAACGCCGCAGCTATTGTAGTTTTTAAGTTAACATTATTAAACTACAATGTCTTTGCAAATTGCAAAGAATTAATTGACAGCATACGAATTGCAATTTTTTTGTTTTTGTTATTTTTACTATGTTTTAAGTTAAAAAATGTAAGTTTTGTTTTTTATATTTATAGATTAAAGTTATCCTAATAATAAATATTATTTTCGGTTTGCAATGAATTACTTGACAAACTATAATAACATAAATTAAAATACAAATTAAATAAAAATTGCAAAAAGCTGTATGTCACATCGGATCTTTATTTATTCACACTCTCTGGAGTGAGTAGCTTTGAGGATATGTCTTTTTGGCGGCTTGATTTAACATTCCGTAAATCATCTGTTTATTTGATTTCTGCAACTAAAATAGTTGACCAACTGCACATAATCTCTTTATGGTACAATAATTCCGTCATCCAACAAATAATGAAACGACATCTAGAACATACTCACCGATGCCTTCAAGATGGTAACTGCAGGATTATTATATTTCCCGCAGCTACCTTTGTCCGAGGCAATCTAAGCCTTGGAGAACCTCATTTGTAAGTGCCAAGCCCTAACACAGGCGATATTAAGGGGTAGACCACCCTGACATTTTTTAAAAATCTAATTTTTTTTACTTCATCTTTATGTCGATATTCTTAAGGTCATTTTAAGACATGGGGCTTAAAAATATCTCATTACTAGTAAATTCTACAGCCATTAGAAGTGAGCGCTGCCGGTATACATTATAGTACTTTTTTTTATCTTCTTTTGAGTTTGATTTTTTGTTTTAAAGTTATAAATTTTTAAAACAAAATTTTCGTCAAAAAAAATTGTTTTTTTTTAAAGTGCTCCCTTTTGCTAAAAAAAAATTGTTTTCAAAAACGGCTATGTCATGCTATAGCCATACTTATATAGCTTATAAAAAATTTTTGTTTTTGAAATTCGGATAACAAATGTGGTGTGCAGCATGTACACCATCCGACCATTCCCTAAAAAAAATGTTGACTGGCTATATATCCGCCGTTCGTAAATATTTTTTTCTTTCAATAAGTATTTTTGGGTTTTGCATATGTTCTTTGATGTACTAATAAATAAAAAGTTGTATTCCTAATAACTTAGTCAAAATGAATTTTTGAAAAACCCTCCAATTTTCATGCGTTCAGGGTGGTCTACCCCCTTACGAGACCTAGAGGCCCCAGTACTGGCATTAGTAGATGCCTCCGAAAGGACGCTAGAACTACTTGCCTTCGCAAAAAACCCATTGATCCTCACTTCAATCCCGCGTAACATCTCCATGTAACATTTCGTTTTAACCAGCACTGGTTTTTAAAAACTTTTTTTATTAATTTGTTTAGATATAATCAATATAAAGGCAGCAATTGCTTATTTTATTTTAATAAAGTCTGACAGTGTTGGCAGCCAAAGCGAAATTTCTTTTGGGTGGTCAGAAATTATTTATTAAATAACTACGTGCTGGTGATGGTGTTAAATAATAATAATTATAACAATTAAAAAAATAATGAGTAGACAATTTTTCCTTTGCAAATAAGATCTGATTTAATGTACAATAAGGCATTTACTTTTCATTTCAGCAAAACAAAGATACCCGTTTTGCAATTCGCAAGAGTCATGTGAAAATGAAAGCGGGAGCACCGATTTTCCTTTTCAAACCAGAAAACGGTAGATTTTTGCGAAAATGAAAACCGGTGCAGGCCTAATACATAGAAATATGGAAGCTGTGGGGACCCCTTCACAAAATCCAAATTATTTTAAAGTATTTTTAAATCATTATATTTATTTTTTTGAAGGATACTTTGTGTTGGAAACCTTTCAGAACCTAGACCTGCACTTAGCCTAGCCCGAGAATCCCAATCACAGCATAAGTGATTCCGGGGGCTGAAACTGAAAAGCACAGACATATGTATGTACAGTTTGTCAAGTAATTCTTTGCAAAACGAAAAATCCCTCACAATTTTGGGTTTAAACTGAAAATTTATTGACAAATACAAGAATTTAAAAAAATTTTTTTTATAATATTATTAGGATAACTTTAATCTATAAATATAAAAAACAAAACTTAAATATTTTAACTTTAAACATAGTAAAAAATAACAAAACAAAAACATTGCAATTCGTATGCTGTCAATTAATTCTTTGCAATTTGCAAAGACGTTATAGTTTACCAAGGATAACTTAAAAACTATAATAGCTGCGGCGTTAATATTTTATGTGGAGTACATTTGCATCTATTACAGCATGGAGGCGTCGCGACATTGGCATTATTAGCCCCTTCAAGTCGTAATATTCTGGAATTTTCTCCCATTTCTCCTGTATTACTTTAATTAAACCCTTTTTATTTGTTGGAGTCCGTTTAGTCACTTTCTTTTCCAAAAAATCCCAAAAATTTTCTATATGTATATATTTATATCTGGGCTTTCCGTAGGAGTGTCAATGACTTTTTTTGCAATTAACAGGAGCCAGGTCCTGCACAGCTGCGATTTGAGCTGGAGTTCATTTTCCTGGTGCAGTTAATATTTATTTCTTTTTGGACAAGTTACGTCATGCAGACCAAATTTCTCCGCGCTTCTGGTCAATTCCTTTTTAAGGATGTCCAAATAAAACTCCTTCGTCATTATATCATCAAAAATCCGCAGCTCACCAACTCCTTTGGATGATATGCACCCCCTTATCATCACAGAAAACTTGCCAAATTTCAATGTTGGTATGATATTCTTCGGCTGGACACCTGTGTTTGGTTTCCTCCAAACTTTATTGGGTCAGCCATGAGTGTATAGCATTATTTTAGTCTCGTCACAAAAAAAAACTTCATCCCCATACTCAGGAGGCTGGTTAACGTGGCCGATAGAGAAATTAAACCGCCTTTCAATATTTATAGCTGAAAGCATTGGTTTCTTCCTGGCAATGTGTGAGGAGTATTTGTGGAGATTCAGGACTTTCCTCACAGTCTCATGGCAACCTGTTTTTCTGCAATAATTTTATAAGTCCAAAGCCAACTTTCTGAGGGTTGTTGGCGGGTTTTTATCAATTTGTTTCGAAATTTTATAATGGTCGCGTTTGGAGAGCTTTTGGTAATCTGCCTGTAGAATTGTACAGGTCAAGTCTATTTTTCTTTTTGGACCGTTTAATTATTTTATACATTGTTCCTAACTAAATATCAAAAATTTCTGAATGTTCCGACGCCGATTACCCTTTATAATGGTTAAAGTAAACCAATTCTATGTTATTATCGTCAATTCGTTTGCCGGGCATGATTAAAATTCTGGACTCGATCAAACACGAACTTTTTCCAACGAAATTTTTCAAGAATATAAAAGTAAAGACCACTAAGTGGCAAGCGTTAATTTTCCTCAGAATTTGCTTTACGTTGCTTAATTCTAGGAACCTCTTCACCTCCTGTTTGCATTTTGCAAAGAAATAATTGACAGCATACGAATTGCAATGTTTTTGTTTTTGCTATTTTTTACTATGTTTTAAGTTAAAATATTTAAGTTTTGTTTTTATATTTATAGATTAAACTTATCCTAATAATATTATAAAAGAAAATTTTAAAAATTCTTGTATTTGTTAATAAATTTTCAGTTTAAACCCAAAATTGTGAGGGATTTTTCGTTTTGCAAAGAATTACTTGACAAACTGTATGTACATATGTACGTTTGTATGCACATGCAGTTGTGGAAATCATTAGAAACAACAAACTATATTGTATTTGGAGACCAATTATTATTTACTTTTCATGAAACTAATTCATTCGAATATTACCTAAGGTAAGGTTTGATAGGTGAACAATTGAATAATTTCTGTAAAACATACAAACATAATATATCCAAACTCATCAGAATACCTAAAGAAAATTAAACAAAAAAATATAATTAAACTTACCTGTTGTAACTGTAACTTGTAGTTCAGCAAATCGTCTGACATTCTAATAACGTAGAGTCAGCCAATATAAACAATTTATAAACAAATGCTAAGAGGGCGCTATTAAAGAACAAATAAAAAACACGATTGTAAAATGAATACAGAAAACGCTTATATCTTGTTCACATTGATTTTGGAGGAATAAACGATTGAATATCACCGTTTACTGTCTACCGTCCGCTTTTTATTGTCAACTACAATAAGAAAGAAAGCTAACTTCGGCAGGCCGAAGTTTACTTACCCTTGCTGATAGAACTTCGATGACTAGAAATCCATACAATATAAATTATATATATTTATGTTAAAAAACAGTGAAACCTGCTTCCATTTCATTCACCTATACATCTTATATTTGTAGTTTTACATTCACAGATTTTCATTTTTCCTCCACATCTAACGATCGTTTGTATGGCATCAATATGATATAGTCTTCCGATTTTCATAAAATTTGACACAAAATATACGACGGATATACAATGGCTATACCTCAAATTTGATGAAAATCAGCTGAAAACTAAAAAAGTTATAAATTTAATTGTATTAATTTCTCGATCGTTCCTATGGGAGCTATATGATATATTAGTCCAATTTTCATAAAATTTTACACAAAATTGTAGAATAATATGAAATGGCTATATTTCAAATTTGATTAAATTCTGTTGAAAACTAAAAATGTTATCGCCACCGCGATTGTCAGTCTTCCGACAACAGCCAACGCCATTCTCATTCCTCTCAAATTTCTCGATCGTTCCTATGGGAGCTATATGATATATTAGTCCGATTTTCATAAAATTTTACACAAAATTGTAGAATAATATGAAACGGCTATATTTCAAATTTGATTAAATTCTGTTGAAAACTGAAAATGTTATACTTATTAATTGAATTAATTTCTCGATCGTTCCTATGGGAGCTATATGATATAGTCGTCCGATTTTCATAAAATTTTACACAAAATTGTAGAATAATATGAAATGGCTATATCTTTTTGTAAAACTTTTTCGATCATTTCTATGACAGCTATATGATATAGTCGTCCGATCCGCCCCGTTCCGACATATATACGAGTGAGAGTATACGGAAGACTAACTGCAAAGTTTCATTCAGATAGCTTCAAAACTGAGAGACTAGTTTGCGTAGAAACAGACAGACGGACAGACGGACAGACGGACATGGCTAGATCGACTCGGCTGTTGATCCTGATCAAGAATATATATACTTTATATAGTCGGAGGTGCCTTCTTCACTGCGTTGCAAACTTCTGACTGAAATTATAATACCCTGCAAGGGTATAAAAAGTAGTCTAAATGTAGTTCCTGACAAGATTCCGCGATTACCAACAAATGAAATCAGTGAACTAAATTTTGTATTGCCAGAAATTGATTTAGATTCAACACAATGGTCGAATGGTTTCGATAAACTGAAAAATTCTATATTGGAGAATAAAAATCGTGTACATTTGTTAATTAGTATATACACTGCGCGTCATCAGATTAGCGCCCCCTGAACATTCTCGGGAAATGTCCAATATTATCCAAACTATCAAGGCTAAAGCCATACAACTTTTTTTGACGATACTTTTAATAATATTCTTCAAAATAAGATACGGTACATAATGATAAGTATAACAATAATATTTTATTTATTTGAAAAGAAAATGTATACCAAAAATATGAATTTATTTTTGAGTCATCAGATTAGCGCCCCCTGCTTAAATTTAATGAATATTCACTTAATGCTTAACAACTAGTAGTGTTTTATGTTTTATCTTATTATTTAGTTATTTTATAATGGGGACCACCGCCCCCATTTTCCAGGACCTCACAGATCCTGCTGGGAAGTGACTCGTACAATTTCTCAATGTATTGTAATAATATTGAAGACCAAGCTTCTTGCTACTTGCTAGCTTCCACACCGCTTTTTTCTTTAATTTTGTTAGAAGAGTCATGTGAATTAGACGCATGTCTACCTATAGACCGAATGTCTGCTTCGGAAAGAACTCTGTTGTTACCGCCTTTCATATTATACCATAGCCTTGCTTATTTTTAAGAAAACTGGCTATAGTTTTTCGATGCCTTCCCATTTTTTCAGCAATTTTATGTAAAGATAAGCCATTTTCACTAAAGGCTTCGATCTTAGATTTTTCTTTTAAAGATAGGACAGTTCCTTTACCCATTTTGATTCTCAGTTTATAAACAATTATTCAATTGATCAGCACAAAAAATTTCACAACTGCACGCCAAAAATTACACGAGATAACTAAATTTGAATTTACAGGCGCTAATCTGATGACGCAAAATTAAATTCATATTTTTGGTATACATTTTCTTTTCAAATGAATAAAATATTATTGTTATACTTATCATTATGTACCTAATCTTATTTTAATCTGAATCTGATGACGCGCAGTGTATATCACAGAAATATGTTATATGCAGGAGAAGTGTCCGAGTTAGACTGCTAGAAGATATGGGTTCCATCTGAACTGACAAACTCAGTTGTAGAAAACGCTCACTAATCACCACATAAGGCACATGGAGGGATAGGAAAAACGTAAGAAATACTTCACTGTCTATTGGCAAAGCATGACAAAACAAGTGAAACAGTCCAACGCACCAAACATTACATTTAAACTACCTATGGGAAACCTTGCAATAAGTGGAAGGCCATTTCAACGTCTTTATATGGATTTTATTAGACCTCATCCTACATCAAAGAAAGGAAATATTGGAGTTTTCATTGTTTTAGAACATCTTAATAAGTTTAATTTCCAAATTAGGAATTCGATCATATCTAGGGACAGATCAACGATTATATGATGACAAAATAAGTAATATTTCAACAGCACTACGCTCTGCTTATTATTCAGCAATTGGATGCTTCCTGTGCATTCGTTGGTAACAATATGATTTCGCATGCAAAAGACTATGATTTCTTGAAAAAGTTAGAAAGTTAAAAATTGGAGAGAGAAGTTTTGATGTTTGTAAGGAAAACCATAACCATGCACGATTCGAGATAAGGGCAATTCTCTAGAAAGGTCTACCGCGGACAAAAACTTAAAATTGCTTAAAAACGAGTATTTTTAACCTAGTTAGATAACAAGAAAGGAAGCTAACTTCGGCACGCCGAAGTTTATATACCCTTGCAGATAGAACTTCTATGAATAGGAATACATACAATATAAATTATATATATTTGTGTTAAAAAACAATGAAGTAATACCTGCTTTCATTTCATTCACCTATACATATTATATTTGCAGTTTTACATTCACAGATTTGCATTTTTCCTCTACATCAAACGATCGTTTGTATGGCACCTATATGATATAGTCGTCCGATTTTTATGAAATTTGCCACAAAATTTAAGACTTATATAAAATGGCTATACCTCAAATTTGATCAAAATCTGTTGAAAACTATACAAAGTTATAATTTTTAATTGTATTAATTTCTCGATCGTTCCTATTGGAGCTATATGATATAGTTTTCATAAAATTTTACACAAAATTATAAAGTAATACGAAATGGCTATATCTCTAATTTGATAAAAATCTGTTGAAAGCTGGAAAAGTTGTAATTTTTAATTGTATTAATTTCTCTATGTGAGCTATATGATATAGTAGTCCAAATTTCACAAAATTTTACACAAAATTTTAAAGTAATATGAAATGGCTATATCGCTAATTTGATGAAAATCTGTTAAAAAGTGGAAAAGTTATCATTTTTAATTGTATCAAATTCTCGATCGTTCCTATGTGAGCTTTATGATATAGTAGTCCGATTTTCATAAAATTTGCACAAAATAGATCAAATTCTGTTGGAAACTAAAAATTGTATAATTATTTTTGTAAAAATTTTCCGATCATTCACATTGCAGCTATATGATATATCCGGACCGATATACATATATACGAGTGATATTATATAGAAGACTTACCACTAAGTTTCATTCAGATAGCTTTAAAACTGAGAGACTAGTTTGCGTAGAAACGGACAGATGGACATGGCTAGGTCGACTCGGCTGTTAATAATGATCAAGAATATATATACTTCATATGGTCGGAGTTGCCTCCTTTAGTGAGTTGCAAACTTCTGACTGAAATTATAATACCCTTCGAGGGTATAAAAAGCGAAATACTGTGAACTAAATATGTGATAACACTGAAATTACACTGCCGCATTAATTTAAGAATACATAACAGAATTGACAGCTCCATGTACTACTACGACAGTTCCACATTAATTAGAGGTTTCACAGCAGTTACTGTATTATAATTCATTGGCTAATGAAATGGCAATGCATATAAAAGCAACAATTTTAAATGGAGGATTGCAAAATCGCATCGAAGTCACTATGGAGTACCTTGCGGTATCACTAGGGGATTGCCAATTCAAAATAAACAGCTTATTGGAATACAGCTTATATGAGCAATAGAAACTGAAGCTGAAGACGGAATTACCGTTTATAAAAAGGAGAGCTCCAGGTCTGATTCCTATGTGACTAGGGAATTCGCTCATATAAAAATATAATCTATATATATAAAAATGCTCTGTTCGTGTCTACTTCCTTCATAGACTTGAAAAGTTCTGAACCATTTAAGCCCAAATTTTTACACATCATGCGTTGAGGTTCCAGCTCGGTTATTGTCTACTTTTGATGTTGATAGCTTATCTGCGGTTCCGAATATATAAATTTTTTTTTAGCGTTTCCCCGCGCCTTCTACAGGCAGCCAGCTGAATCGAAGCATTTCCTGTCAAACATTCAAAACATATTGAAAGAAGAAATCTGAAAAGTTCTGAACTGTTTAAGCCCAAATTTTTACACAACATGCGTTGAGGTTCCAGCTCGGTTATTGTCTACTTTTTATGTTGATAGCTTATCTGCATTTGCGAATATATCAGTTTTTTTTCGCGTTTCCCCGTGCCCCTACTGCTGCGCCCTCTACAGGCAGCCAGCTGAATCAAAGCATTTCCTGTCAAACATTAAAAACATATTGAAAGAAGAAATTGGAGATAAAATTTTTATTTTGTTGTTCAGGTTCAGTAAGAAACGAAGTCATGCCACCCAAGAAGTCGAGTT